CACCACAATCCATTCTCCTCCATTATCCTCTCTGGATTTTGGGCACACATGCACACTTGCCTGGCATGAGTTTTAAGCCAGTGTCCAGGATTCAAACCATAGTCGACTATGTGGGAATCTAGTGACATAACCATTATGCCATCTGCTGATTCCTAGACATGTAACCTTAGATCCATTTATACCACCAAATCAGTTCAAGGCAAAATTACTAGTCTGAATGCCTACTGCTGCATAACCAACTATTCCAAACTCAGTGGTATAAAACAATAACCACTGGGGACCAGCAGTTAGCATAACGGCTATGTCGCTGGACTCCCATGTAGCCGACTGCTGTTCGTGTCCCAGATCCGGAGGCTTAAAACTCATGCCGGGCGCATGTGCGTGCGTGCCCAAGATCCCGAGAGGAGAACAGAGGAGAAGGGATTGCGGCGTGGCCATCCCCCCTGGGGAGTGATTTCTCGCTTTCTGTCTCTCTCTGTCTGGCGAGCGCACACACTCTACAGCAAACAAACAAACAAACAAAAAACCCAATAACCATTATACTTCCAGATTCTGTGGGTTGAGAATTTGGGAAAGGCATGGTGGCGATGGCTTATTTCTGTTCCATGATGTCTGGGCCTCAATTGGGAAGACTGGAACAGCTGGGATAGAGAATTCTCTTTATTATTATTTATGAATGTGTGTATATATGAATATATTTATTTCTTCCATGAGTGAGAAAGAGAGAGGGAGAGGTATCCCCAAAGGGATCTTCATGTTGTGATTCACCCATGCCTCATTCCCACATTTTTTTTTTAAATGCCAGAGAGTACACATTCCGGCACGCAGGAGAAAGAGAGTGAGAGAGAAGGAACCTCCCTGCCCCAGGGACCTGCTCACACTATAATCCCTCTTCTTCCCTTCTTCATTCCATCAGGATCCTGGGCATGCCTGTGTATACCTGCATGTTTTCTAAGCTGATGGGGCTGGGATTCGAACTCTGGTCAGCCGTGTGGGATCTGGCTTCCTCTGAACAGTGCCTAACACTGTGTCATGGCCCGGTACCTCCATTTTTAAATGTGTGGCCTTCGGCAACTTACTTGACTTCTTTCTTCACATACAAACACGGATACTGATCGCCAAGTGGCTCTGAATAGACACAAACCCAAGTTAAAGTGCATCTGTTATTCATAAGTGGTTGGCTAAGCCTAATCCTCTTTTCTTAAAAAGATTATATCTTCATCAATATAATGGGCATAATAAAACACACATGGGGCCAGTCGGTGGCATGGTGGTCAAGGCAGCTGAATCTGCATGGCCAACTGTGGTCAAGTCCTGGAGCTAGCAGCTTGGAAAACAGCTTGGCAGGATGTAGCAGGTGACATGGTGGTCAAAGCACTGGATTCCCACATAGCTGACCACAGTTTGAGACCTGGACCTGAGGACTTGAAAATCACACTAGGCACGTGTGTGAGTGTGCTCAAAATCCTAAGATGAGAGTGGAAAAGAGATTGCAGTGTGTCCATCCCTTAGGAGATGATTTCTCACTTTCCCTCTCTCTGTCTCTCTCTGGTGGGCACAGGCATCCTATGACTAAAACAAATAAGCAAACAAAACAAAAACCTAATAAAAAAAAAGAAAGGAAGATAAAGAAAACCAACCTGATGCATGTGCATGCATGCCCAAAATCCAGAAAGGAGGGAGAGATGGAGGAGAAGGGATTGTGACCTGGCCAGACCTCGTGGGGTGCTTCCTCACTTTCCCTTTCCTTCTCTGTCTCTTTCCAGTAAGCACATGCACCCCCTGGTAAAATTCTTTTTAAATTTTTAAAGTACATATGTTTAAACTGTACGATTTGATAAATCGTGACATAAGTGTACAATCACGAAGCCATCAGCACAAAGAAGACAATGAAAATATCCAGCCGCAGTCCCCGCAAAGTTTTATCATGTGCCACTGTAATCTCCCCTCCTAATTCCTCCTTGTCCTCCTCACCCTGAATTCATCTGTTTTCTGTTATTAAAGATAAACTTGCACTGGGACCAGCAGTTACCGTAATGGCTATGTCACTGGACTCCCATGTAGTCGACCGCGGTTCGAGTCCCGGACCTGGTGGCTTAAACTCACGCCAGGTGCGTGTGCATGCGTGCCCAAGAGGAGAATGGAAGAGGGGATTGTGGCGTGACCATCCCCCCTGGGGGTGATTTCTTGCTTTCTGTTTCTCTTTGTCTGTCTGGCGAGCGCACGTGCCCTAATGCAAAAACCTCTCCAAAAAAAAGATAAACTTGCACTTTCTAAAGTATTACATGAGTGGAATTTTGCAGCGTATAGGCTTTGTCTGACTCCCTTCACTGATCATAATGATTTTGAGTTCATCTCTGTCAGTGTGTGTATCATTAATCCATTTCTTTCCATTGCTGAGCATTATTTCATTGTATTGATAGAAGGAATTGTTTCTGTCCATTCATTGTTTTTCCTGTTTCTGTTTCTTCCAGTTCTTTTGTTTGTTTGTTTGTTTGTTTTTTGAGAGGCTTTTGCTATAGGGGGCGTGCGCTCGTGTGAGGGTGCAGTGGTAAAGCAACTGGCCTCCCCTGGGAAAGGTCCTGGGTTCATGTCCTGGAGCCTCCCTGTACATGTTAGGTGTGTGGGTGCACCCGGGGTGGATCACTGTGTGAAGACCTGATGGGAGTGCCTGTCTCTTCCTTTTCTCATGGAACAAATGAATACATAAACTTTAAAAAAAGTTCAAGTCCCTACAATGGCTTACAAGGACATCCAACATCAGCCTGAAGTATTTCTCAGACTGTGTTGCCCACTTTGCTGCCCCACAGAGCCAGCCAGGGTGAGGGCAACTCCTGCTCAGGGTCCTGAGCTTGGAAGGGCCCCACATTTGGCTCAAAGCTCTACTGTTGCATCTTTGAGCACGGGGCCCTGCGTGCTCATCTTGCAATGGGCCCCGGCAAATTCTGTATCCAGTTCTGACTGCAGCCTCACGAGGTTCCCACCAGGGTTTGTAGGAGTGAGGGACCCCAGCACTTCCACCTCAGAAATCAGGCAAGCGCTACTCCTGGCCTCTGCTAAGGAGCCTCAGCTGTGGGATGCTCACTTGGCTGAGTTTTCCCTTCACCTACTCACAAATGGGTCAAACATAACCCCAGCAGAGGGACCAGCAGTTAGCATAATGGCTATGTTGCTGAACTCCCATGTAGTCGGCTGTGGTTCAAGTCCTGGACCCGGTGGCTTAAACTCACACCGGGTGCATGTGCGTGTGTGCCCAAGATCCCGAGAGGAGAATGGAGGAGAAGGGATTGCAACATGGCCATCCCCCCAGGGGGTAATTTCTCGCTTTCTGTCTCTCTGTCTCTGTCTTTCTGGCAAGCACATGCACCCTATAGCAAAAACCTCTCCAAAACAACAACAACAACAAAAACATCACTCCAGCAGAGAGCCCTTTTCTGAACCCCACGTCCATGGTATCGTCCTGCAACCCTGTCACTACCCCTATTTTCCATTACAGCAAAATATTCCTTCTCCAAAGCACCTGTCTCTGCCTGGCTTTAGAGTATGTATTTCATTTTTAAAAATAGAATGGTTTATTTAATTTTATTTATTCATTCATTTATTTTCATTTGACCAGAGAGAGACACATAGAGAGTGAGAGGGAATGAGAAAGCAAGCCACCAGAGAGGAAAAGTGAGAAAGCAAGCCACCAGGTCCGGGACTCAAACCATGGTCAGCCATGTGGGAGTGTCCAGCTTCTTAACCACCACACCACCTGCTGGCCCCCAGAGTATACATTGCTTTACATGCAGCTGCTTCTTGTTTTACACCTTACCGTGTGTAAGGTCCTTGAGGGCAGGGACATTGTCAAGCTTGTTCGAGTCCTTGTCCCTGGAGCCTAACGTTCTTCTGGGTACCTAGACAGTTCTCAGCACAGTTTTGAGAAATACAATGAAGTACTATTCAGAAATACCACGAATGCTGTCACCAGGAGCACATTTTATTTATTTTTTATTGTCATTATTTTATTTATTTATTTATTTATTTATATTATCATCATAATCTTCTTTATATTACATTGGACCAGGAGCACATTTTAATCCTATGAACCTAGTTGTGAGAAACCTTCAGAGCACTCATTTGAAGATACATTGTTTCATTTTCATAGCGGTCCCTGGCGTTTCTCACAGTCCCGCAAACCCACATTCATCTTTACCTCTGCCATCTCCCCCCTCTTTCTCTTTTGCCTTTCTCTGCTTATCAGTGGTGCTAGTTCTGTGTTTTGAACATTCAAGGTTTTGAAAAGTTGAGATGGATTTTTTTTTTTTAATTTCTATGACAGAAACAGCGTAAAGCCCAGGAAGTATCAGAATAACGTCTCCCCTGAGCTGGTCAATCTTGGCTGCAGTGGGTGGCAGCTGCCTGGTCCTGGCTAGCATCCCAGTGCCCTGCCCCAGGGACAGGAATGTTAGAGCCACAGGTGCCTCGGTCACCATCCAGCCTTAAGTCTGAACATTCTGTGTTCTTCCAGAGCGGAAAAAGTAGTTCAAGTTAGAAAGGTTGGTTACATCACTGGACTCACGTAGTCGACCACAGTTTGAGTCCTAGAACCGGCGGCTTAAAACTCATGCTGTGTGTTTGTGTGTGTGTGTGTGTGCCCCAAATCCCAAGAAGAAAATGGAGAAGAAGGGATTGCAGGGTGGCCATCCCCTCAGGGGGTGGGGGGTGGGCAGGGTGTGATTTTTCACTTTCTGTCTCTCTGTGAGCGAATGCATCCTATAGCAAAAATTCTCTCTGGGGAAAAAAAAAGAAAGAAAAGAAAGGTAATGAAACAAAAATGAGAGAAGAAACAAGAAGAAGGAGAAAGAGATGAGAGGAAAGGAGGTGAGGAGAGAGGAAGAGACGAGGAGGGGAGGGGGGAGGACAGAAGAGAAGCGGAGAAATCCAGGAAAGGTATACTTTAATTATTCTGGCTTCTGGGAAGGAATTCATTTCTCGAGATCACAAAACTGGTTAGTTATGTGCTTGCTTCACAGCACATATATAAAATTGGAACACTACAGAGAAGATTAGCATGGCCCCCGTGCAAGGACGACACACAAGTTTGTGATGCAGTCCATATTGCTATGCACAGTACTGTACTATGGTCTTACAAGAACTCACACTGAGTGTAAGTTTTCTATCTCTTCCTAATGAGCTATTGTCATGTACAATTTTACTTCCCTCTCATTGGACCAGTGATTCAGATCATAAACTCTTAGCTCCTAAAGTCCTCTACGTGGAAATTACAAATTCTTCTTTCATTGACTATATTAAGGTTATTTTTGTTTTCAAAAATCCTTCCTCATTGGGACCAGCAGGTGGCATAGTGCCTAAGGCACTGGATTCCCATGTGGTCGACTGTGGTTCGAGTCCCAGACCCAGTGGCTTGAAACTGGTGTCAGGTGTGTGTGCATGTATGCCCCAAATCCTGAGAATAGAGAAGAAGGGATTGCAGCGTGGTCATCCCCCCTAATGGGTGCTTTCTCACTTCTTCTCTATCTCTCTCTCTCCTCTCTGGTGAGTGCATGCTCCCTATAGCAGAAATCTCTCTCAAAAAAAAATCCTTCCTCATTAAATGTGTTGTCTAATTTTATTTTATTTTTTTGCCATAGGGTGCATGTGCTCACCAGAGATAGATAAAGACAGAGAGAGGGAAAGTGAGAAAATACCTCCAGAGAAGATGGTCATACTGCAATCCCTTTTCTTCCACTCTCCTTTTGGGATTTTGAGCACACACACGCACACACACACACACGCCCAGTGTGATTTTCAGGTTGCCAGATCTGGAACTTGAACCATGGTTGAACCATATGGGAATCTAGTACCTTCACCACCACACCACCTCCTGGTCCTGGTGGTCTGATATTTAATCACTTTGTTTTTCTTTAGAACTATATTTCACAGTAAAGCGCATCATTGACAATTCATTATATACTTCCAAAATAACCAGTAGAGCAAATTTCAAATGTTCATAACATAATGTAATGTATACTGTAGAACACGGTGAATATGTTTATATCCTTGATTTGTTTATTACATACCATATACATACTATTAAAACTCATACTGTACCCTACAAAGATGTACAATGATTATGTGTAAATTATAAATTACAATAAATATTAAAAAGATGTGACCAGCAGATAGTGTAATGTAGTCGACCGTGGTTCAAGTCCCAGACCCGGTGGCTTAAACTCAGGCCAGGTGCATGTACGTATATGCCCAGGATCCCAAGAGGAGAATGGGGGAGAAGGGATTGAGGCATGGTCATCCCCTCTGGGGGTGATTTCTCGCTTTCTGTCTCTCTGTCTCTGTCTTTTTGGTGAGCACATGCGGCCATAGCAAAAACCTCTCTAAAAAACAAAACATAATAAAACAAACAAACAAAAGAAATAGGACAGTTGTATAAACAGAGAGTGCATGAGAGGGGCAAGAATGGGAGGAGCTCAGGAAGAAAGATTTTGTTTATTATTTATTTTTTATTTTATTTTTAAAAATTTGACCAGAGAGACACAGAGAGAAAGGGAAAGCGAGAAAGCAAGCCACCAGGTCCAGGACTCAAACCATGGTCGCCAATGTGGGAGTCCAGCACCTTACCCACCACACCACCTGCCAGTCCCAGGAAGAAAGAATTGAACAAACATAAGAATGTAAGATTCTTGGTTGAAAATGATGCATATGGTAATATTCTTGATTTGATTATCACACACTCCATGCATGCTTTGAAAACCCATATAGTATGCGGTAAATGGACAATTAAATATAAATAAATTATAAAATACAATTTTATAATTAAAAAATGAAAGCTACAAAAACCAGAACTGCCTAGTTACAGGTCAGACCCCCCAAATTCAAATTTTTTGACTTTCTCTTTGATAGTGAATGTCATTTAATTGAAGAAGTAGCCACTGACATCTCTGTTTTCAGTGCAGTCTGGGGGCTTCCTGCTCTCGATGATCTCGTTAGGTGCTTTTCTGCCGCGGCCCGGTTCTCAGCCTCCCTCGGGCTTGTGTTCTCTAGGGCTGTGTCAGGGGCTCCACATGCAGCAGGGCCAGGTCATCGGGGCCACACAGGCTGTGGAGAGGACTGAGGGAGTGTCCTGGTGTCCTAGCGCAAGGCACCTTGGCAGAGTCCTGGCAGCATCACCGCTTCCTCCGTGTCCTCATTCTTTTCTACCTCACTGCTTAGAAATGGATGATCCATAACTGTTGTTCTTGACATGCCTCCATCGCTGGCATACACCTGTCCTGCTGGGGCTCCTCCAGGGGCCTTAAAAGTTCATGGAAAAGGGAACCAGCAGTTAGCGTAAGGGCTATGTTGCTGGACTCCCATGTAGTTGACCGCGGTTCGCGTCCTGGACCCGGTGGCTTAAAACTCACGCCGGGCGCATGTGCGTGCGTGCCCAAGATCCCGAGAGGAGAATGGAGGAGAAGGGATTGCGGTGTGGCCATCCTCCCTGGGGGTGATTTCTCGCTTTCTGTCTGTCTCTCTCTGTCTGTCTGGCGAGCGCACGTGCCCTATAGCGAAAACCTCTCCAAAAAAAAGAAAAGTTCATGGAAAAGTAGAGTTCAAGTACAAGTTAATTTTGATTTAAAAAAAAAAAAAAGAAATCCATGCCTAATACACGTTTCCATGAATTCTTTGATGAACTGGTATGTAGATTTGTTTGCTTTTAATCATAGTATTGGCTCCATGAACTCAGCCCCCAACTCAGGAACCAGCACGGTATCAATGATAGCACTGTGCCTTCATCTGTGCGGTCCTGCCCATCCCAGCCCTGACCCTTGGCCCAAAACCTGCGGGAACCACTCTTCTGGCTCTCCTGCTACTTATACCCTTTGCTTTTAAACAAATATCTTGTGCACACATACGTGTGCATGTGCATGCCTGTATGCATGTGGCGTGCTTCTAGACAGTCTCTCCCTGGGCCATGATCCTCCTGCCTCAGCCTCTTGAATAGCTGGAAGTACAGGCCTGGACAACATCCACTTTTTTAGGGTGGGCTGGGAATAGGACCTGGGACTCCCATGTGGCCCCCGCTTGCCATTTGACAGTGTCCAGGGAGCACTTCCTGCGGTTGAGCCATGGCTATCATTCCTTGGAAATAAGTGACATTCCTCCATGTGTTCCCCAAAAGCATCTTGCCTCGTTTCTCGCTGCGTGCAGAGGGCTCGTGTTGTAAATAAGCTTTCGGGATTTGGTCAGAAAGGGGAAACTGACTCTTACTATTGTAGGACCGAATCCTTCTGCATCCGTTGCTGTAGACAAAGTCCCCAGACCATTAGCTGCATCTGGCCCTGAAATGACCCGGTGAGCTGCGAGGCCTCCTCTCAGCCCGCCCTCCACGGAGGGGAGCTGACAGCACCAGAACACACAGCCTCTCCCTAGGTTTGCTTTTCCTCGGATACCCCACCTGTGCTCCGGGCAGAGCTCGCAGCCACCCACTTCGCAGGGCTGCTCGCTCCCCCACCTGTCCAAACACAGGGTTTCCTGTCACCACGTGGCCAAGAAGCCAAGGCCGCAGACCAGGAACTTGCAGTTTTCAGTTTCCTAATGAGAACAATTGCAGACCTGGAAAACAGCTGTTATCCCAGGGGCCAGGACACAATGTAATTCTGTTGCATCTTTATGATTTCTGTCTTGTCCTTTGCAATTTCCCACAAACCTGAAACATATTTTGCTACTCACTTTCCATCTCTCCGAAATCATTAGACTTAGCACTCCAGGAGACTCTTGCAGCATGGAATGGTTTTCGGTTCCCAAATCCCCAGAGGAAAATACTAAGGTATGGAGTTACTTGTGGAAACACGGTGCGACATAAGGACGCTGAGGCTGCTGGGATAACTCAGTCCTCCATAGGGTCCCTGCATCTCTCTGGCTGCTATTCTTTTTTTATTATTATTATTATTTTTTATTTTTATTTTTTTGGAGAGGTTTTTTTTCACTATAGGGCGCGTGCGCTCGCTAGACAGAGGGAGACATAGAGACAGAAAGCGAGAAATCACCCCCCAGGGGGGATGGTCATGCTGCACATGCGCTCACGAGAGAGAGGAAAAAAGTAAGAAATGACCACCCCACCCCAGTGGTATGACCACGCCACCATACCTTCTCCTCCATTCCCATCAGGATTTTGGCACGTGCACACACACGCACACGCACACACACACGCACACGCACGGTGTGATATTCAGGCTGTCAGGTCAGGGACTTGTACCAAACAGTCGGCCATGTGGGATCCAGCAGCCTTAACCTCTACCTGCTGCCTGGAAAAAAGAAAACTTTTTAAAGAGGCTGGTGTGCTGTACTAGGAAGATCATGAACTTGGAAGCCAGATTAAAACCTGAGTTCAAATTCCACCTGGGTCATTTACCTACTATGCGACCTTCGTCTTCACACAGTCTTCATTTCCTGGGTCTGTAGAGCCAGATATTGCCTTCATAGAGTGCGGTGAAGATTCACTGAGATTGGGACCAGCAGTTGGCATAATGGCTATGTCGCTGGACTCCCATATAGTCGACCATGGTTCAAGTCCTGGGCCTGGTGGCTTAAACTCATGCCGGGCGCATGTGCGTGCGTGCACAAGATCCTGGGAGGAGAATGGAGGAGAAGATCCTGAGAGGAGAATGGAGGAGAAGGGATTGCGGCATGGCCATCCCCCTTGGAGGTGATTTCTCATTTTCTGTCTTTCTGGCGAGCGCACGCGCTCTATAGCATAAACTTCTCAAAAAAAAAAAAAAAATCCCTGAGATAAGACAGGAAATGGTGTACCTCACACAGCTGCAACGTGGGCCCAGCCCAAGTGCTCAGTAGCTAGTAGCCTTAGAGCAGCTTCTCATTTCCTCACCCTGTGTCTATTGCAAGCCCCAAACTCCCAGCCCTCATTCCCTCTCCATTCTGATCCACCACACATCATGGTCGGATGAATCATTCCAAAGCCGTGTTTTGTATATATCACATTTCCTTCCCGTCCTAACCAAACCCACACCCCTAGACTACAACAGAAACCTTCTGTGGTTTTCCAATGCCTTCAAGATGTCCAAGTTCCTTGAGTTGGCATTTAAGCTTGCCCACAATTTAGAATCCA